AAGAAAAAACATTAAAATACATATCTAAGGGTTCATTTTCCCGACATCACATTATCTGAGATTCTTTATCTCCAATAAACCACCAGAAAACCAGAAGTGATGCTGTAGCTCAAGTGGTAGAGTGCTAGCCTTGAGCTGAAGAGCTGAGGGACAGCGCCCAGGCCCAGAGTTCAAGTCCCATAACCGACAAAAAATAATAATAATAATAATAACTTACCAAAACAACAAGGTGAATACCTAAACAGCTCTAAATTTTAAAGTTAAAACCCATATTTATAACAATCAAAATAAGCATAATATACATCAAGATGACTATTATAAAATAACAACAAAACAGAAGAGTACTAGCAAGGATGTGGTAAAAATTAAAACCCCTCAAAATAACAAACAATTCATACATGATCCAGCAGTTCTACTTCTAGGTATATAAGCAAAACAAGTGACAGCAGAGACTTGAAGAGACATGTGCACATCCAGATTCATAGTAGCATTGTTCACAATAGACAAAAGGTGGAAGCAGCCCAAATGCTCATTGAAAGATGAGTCGATAAACAAAACATGATACTGTATATACGTACAACGGAATATTCTTCAGCCTTAGAAAGAAGGAAATGTTGACACAGGCTGCAATACTGATAAATCCTAAAGACATTATGCTAAGTGAAATAGGCCAAGTACGGCAGTACAAATATTGCAGGGATCCTGCTATATGGTTATTTTTGTACTTTGTGCTTGTGTAGTCAAATTCATTAAAGCTAAAAGTAGCACCACTTTTCTGCCATGTGCCAGGGAAGAAACAATGGAGAGTTAGCTTTTAAAGGGTATAAGTTTGGGAAGAAGAAATGAGGCGATGTCCATCAAAGTATATAAAGCTGGAGATCTGAAGCACAACATGAGCACCAGAACCAATAATGTTTTGTTGTATTGGACTGGAGATGTTTTTTGGCTTAAAAAAATAGGTGCTCTTATCCTGCCCATGCAATTGTAACCCCTCTGTACAGTATGTTCACAAATAAAATAAAATAAAATTTAAAAAAAAATAGGTGCTCTTACAACACACATACACACATTAAAAGGTTTACGAGGATGAATATGTTAATTTTACTCCCATTTCTCACGTAGTTAAACAAATGAAAACATCTTGTTACATATCTTTAAAAAGAACTCAGACCAAAAAAAAAATGTGGTGCGGTTTCCATTGGGGAAGATGAAAATGTTCTTGAGATGGATAGTGATAAGGTGTATAGTGATATATGTGAATATACTTAAGACCAACGAGCTGTACACTTAAAAGGAATTAAAATGGCAAATTTTTATGCTATGTATATTACCACTACAAAAGCAAACAACTTTCCCATAAAAAAGTTCCAGATGTCCTCACTAATTAACATCAAGCATTTAAGGGAAAAAAAGACTACCAATAGTACATAATCCTAAAACAAAAGAGTACTCCTCAGCTTGTTTTCTGAGGATAGCATAAAAGTCCCAACACTTATATGAAATAAAGGTTTGAATATGAGCACAATTTTCCTATGTACCTAGTGCTTCCATTACAGTTACAGATTAAGGTTATAAAACATTTGTTAGGAATAAAACTTGAGAATACCTAAAAGGAGCAAAGAAGCCTGGGTAGAAATTTTTTCCAGGTGTTGTCAAAGGGTTCTATACCTGACTAAGACTAATACAGTCAGAGCAATGCTTGTGTTTAGAACAAATTGCACATATTATAGTCGTCTATAAGAAAAAAAAAAGCCTATCACATAGTAGTTTTACCTTTTCTACATTTATTTTCCTTTTCATTTTACAGTTTCTTGGCAGTGGTGGGGCTTGAACCCAGAACTTTGTACTTACTAGATAGGTACCCTATTGCTTGAGTCAGACACATTTTTTGTCTAATTTTTTTTACTCAGGAACATTTATACAGGACTGGTTCCTCAAATCTGGTTTCTCCCCATCTCTGACTCCCAAATAGCTGCAATTATAGCCATGAGCCACCACACCCAGCCTTGTCTCTCTCTTTCTTTCCTTCCTTCCTTCCTTCCTTCCTTCCTTCCTTTCTTTCTTTCTTTCTTTCTTTCTT